TTTTTTAAAAATAAAGTCAATAAACATTAATACATTTATAATTGAGAAGAACACTCTCTCCGTATCGATGCCGCCACTGTTACTCGAAAATCTCATAACTGGATAGAAGAAAATAGAAAAGGAGTAAAAAAAAAAGGGGGAGGAAAAGGGAAAAAAAAATTGTAATATTACGCTGACACCATAAAACCACAGCTCAGCTCACCACACCGAAAAGGAAAAAAAAAATAAAAGTCTTTTTCTCTCTTACCAATTCTGCATACTGCACGTTCGTCGATGAGAACCGCGTACCAGCACCGGAACCGTCGGTGAATCCCCGAAGACCGCCGAATATTCTTTTTCCTTCCTCGCTCTTCTCAATCTCCTCCGCACATGGCGGATAGGGACGGCGTAGTTTCTCGCACCTTCCGTGCTCTGGTGGAGAGCGCGGACCGTAAGTTCGCTCGCGTGCGCGACCTTCCGTCGTATGGGCGGGCGCAGGGGCAGCACTACTTCCAGAAGGTGTTCAAGGCGTACATGCGGCTCTGGAAGTACCAACAGGACCACAGAGCGGAGCTAGTGCGGGCGGGCCTGAACCGGTGGGAAATAGGGGAGATCGCTAGCCGAATCGGCCAGCTCTACTTCGGACAGTACATGAGGACTAGCGAGGCCAGGTTTATTGTCGAGGCGTACGTGTTCTATGAGGCGATTTTGAGCAGGAGTTACTTTGAAGGGACTAAAGTCAGGGATCTTGGTGTTAGGTTTAAAGAGCTCAGATTCTACGCCAGGTTTTTGCTCGTGTCGTTGATTTTGAACCGCACCGAGATGGTGAAGATTCTTGTTGAGAGATTTCGCGCACTTGTTGATGATTGCAAGGCTAATTTCCGGGTATTTCCCCTTTGATATTCTGTAATTGAAGCTAATTTTAGTTTTCACTAATTTTTCCTAAATCATGATTATGCTTCTAGGTGAATCAGTAAGGCCTTCTTTGGTTTCTAAGGGAAATAATATTTTGATACTTGATTAGGAAACTTTTAATTTTGTAGAACAAATGCTCATTATAGGGCAAAGGATAACCTAGTTCTTGTAATTTTCTTGAATTTCTTGAGATAGTAAGGAAAATGAAGGAAACTTCCGGAGGATAGGGTTCGGTCTAGTTTGTTGTAATTTCCTTGAATTACCAAACCAATTTGTTCAGTCTAGTTTGACAGTGACAAGTAGCAGGTAATTGACTGTCGTGGCTAGCCTGAGGGATAGAGTCTGTGCTATGTTGATCTATTATTTTAAGGTTTTTTCAGGTGTTTTCTATTTCTATAAATAATTCAAATTGATTAAGATATGTGTATGTGGAGTATTTGCATCTTCACTGAATCAGATTTGACCTTCTTTCCACTCAGAAGTCATAAAAGACGGGAAGTTTTTGGCATTTTTATACTGAATGAAATTTCTCCACTTCATTTTTAACAATGGGAGAAAGATTATTCTTTCATAGGTTGGGCAATCCAAGAATCTAATTATTAGGTGGTAATAGTAAAAACCTTAAAAGGGTGTTTTTCCTTTTTGCTTAAATGATAAAGGGTGTACGTATGACTTACTTCTTATCAGGAGACAAACTTCAAAGAGTGGAAACTAGTGGTTCAAGAAATCATTCGCTTTATGGATGTTGATACGTCTTTCACAATTACAAATGCAAGACCAGTGCGTTACTGTGCCATGTTTGATTCTCATCCAGCTTCTCTTCCATGTATTGCTCGATTCCATGCAAAGAAGGTTCTAAAGTTCCGTGATGCAATCTTGATGAGTTATCACAGAAACGAGGTGAAGGCAATTTTTGGTTTGTGTAACTACTTCCTGATAGTTAATTTGAGAGTTTGAAGTTGATATGTAAATTGTAATTTTCAATGATATATTTTCTTTATTTTCCAATGATATTTTTAATGATCTGCTATTCTCTTTTTATCTTCAGGTCAAATTTGCGGAACTTACATTGGATACGTACAGAATGCTTCAATGTTTGGAATGGGAGCCAAGTGGATCATTTTATCACAAGCGTCCTGTGGAACCAAAGGAGAATGGTTTTGCAGTTGATCATTCTGGAGCTTCTGGAGTAATAGATTTAAATTTGGCTGCAGACATGACTGATCCAACTCTACCTTCAAACCCAAGGAAGGCTATTCTCTATCATCCATCTGTGACACATTTGATGGCGGTGAGTTTTAAAGCTCCTATTATTGGATTTAGTAAGTATACTTCTTCCCTTTACTAGTTGATAGGTAGGATGCTTTTGATGCTGTAACTGCATTTACATGCATCTTTCCATGTTCTCTAGGGAATACCTACCTCTGGATATCATATCTTTTTTTCCTGAGAAAAAGAGCATATCATTATCCTTTTATTTTGAACAACATTTGGTTGCTATACTTCTTAAAACTGGATTGTCATGGCACATTGTTTTCCATTTTATTTTCTGTGTGAAATCTTTGCTTGGTTGTTTGTAATACTATCATGTAGGAGTAGGACAAGCCACTTCCAATTGAAGGATTTTGTGCATAATTTCTCCATGTATGATGTACCTGTAACTAAGAGTCAGTAACTAGACAGAACAAAGTCTTTTCCAAGTTAAATGGCTCTCTGCTCATTAAATGTTTATCTATCCTGCAAAAGGAATATCTGGTCTTTTGCATCATCAATGGATTGATACACCTGCTTTGTATCAAGTGTTATTTCATGAATGTTTCTTAACTATTGATGCATGGGTAGGTTATGGCAACAGTTTGTGAAGAGCTCCCTCCAGAGAGTGTTATGCTAGTTTATCTATCAGCTTCAGGTAAGTTTCCATTGCTGTACTTTTACTGGATTAAAATGTAAACTGAAGCTAAAAGATCATCTCTACATGTTATGTTTTCATAAAATTGCTGACTTTTAGTTTTGGCCAACAACTAGCTGACCTTATAATCAATTTGCAGGGAAGGCTGGCTGTATTAATACTTCTCAGATAGAAACATCTGGAGGATCTAGAAGAACTTCAAAAAATAAAGTTGTGTCTCAGAATTCTCTTGAACAGAATAACCATGTTAATGGCAAGAAAGGGTCTAGTGACCATTCTGATGGTTATCTGTGGTTAGGTGCCAAAGGGAATAGTGGTAGGTAGCTTTATTTAATTCATGCTAACTTGCTCTCTTAAGCCTTTATTGCAAGGGCTTTATGAATGATTACCACACTCTGGGCCAAGTGGCTAAGCCACTCAGCTTAGTGGGAATTTCCCCCAGATTTTCTAGTTTGAATCTTGGTGATGTCCATTCCCCTGCCCCCAATATATTTGCCATGTTTCAAAGAAAAAAGGGGACGGGGGAGTTATAGATGGCCATTGCATTTTTTTATAATTATTTCTTCAACTAATGTTTAAGTATGATTCTTTGGACTTCACAGGTTCAAATAACCTTTACCCTGCTGATATAATTCCTTTTACTCGAAGACCTCTTTTCTTGGTTATTGACAGCGACAGCAGCCATGCATTCAAGGCAGGTTTGTCATAACTTGATTATGTCTTTGTGAGGGTATATTTGTACATGCAAGAAGTTTTTTTCATGTTTTTGTTAAAATTGGTTCACTTGTTTTCCCTCTTTTCCCAATGTCTCCCATCTTTGATTTGAATCAGGTGATTAGAATGGGTAAAATAAAAGAAAAATGCAATTTGAAGGAACAGAGATATGAAAATCTTTGAGCTGCTCTGTAATTATCAACTAGATTTCTTTATTTGCAAATGATATAGTCCAAATTACTGCAAGTTTTTGGCAGCATAAGATGATGGAGAATCAACATCATACTATAATGTACTTTACCCGAGCATGTAATCTGTTTATGATAATGTGTGTATTTGATTGCCTCACTGTGTGAGAAAAGTTTAAACTAAACCTAAGTCTTTTCATTTCCTAAGATTGAGATAAATCATCTTTTATTCAACTGTGGCTTTGAGTTTTATTTTTTTATTTCTTATTTTCTTTAACTGTTGCTTGGGGTAATGAAATGGGGTTTGTTGAGGTATGAATAAACCTTATTCACCTGAATCCTGCTGTGTATGACACTACTGTGGTCAGATACAGATGAAAGGTGGATTTGAAGACATTTTGGGTCGAATTTTTTAAAGTTTCAAGGGGTTTGGTGCATTTCTTATTCCACATCTGAGTTCTTGTCTGTCTTTGAAGTTGCTTACATCTAAATTATGCATGAGTTTCAGGTCTTACATGGTGCAGAAAGGGGAGAGAAAGCTGCCCTACTTCTTTCACCGTTGAGGCAGGTATTTAAGAATCCTTCTAGTGCAGATATTTTGCATAATGGAAGTCAGTTTACCCTTTTCTTAACGGCTCCTGTACAAGCCTTCTGCCAAATGATTGACTTATCCTTGTCTGGTGCCGATGTGGTACGTTCATTCCAAATATTTTGTAATTTCAATCTTTTATCCTCATTCTCTTCTATCATTCTTATTTTCATAGTCTTCCCCTTTTAGGATCTTCTAAATGATGCTGAGAACATACTTTCCACTGCTTTCTCTGAGTGGGAAGTGATTCTCTGTACATCATCTAACCTGGATCTGGTTTGGGCACAAGTTTTATCTGATCCATTTTTGAGGAGGCTTATCATTAGGTATGTCTTTCATATTAGCCGACAAGCAAAATGTTGTGTGTGAATTTTATATCATTCATTTTGCTTTGTATAGTTTGATATAACCAATATTGTGGCAGAAATTGATCCAACGCTAACCCAAATAGGACTTTGGGTGAAGACATTCTTACATATTATGACTTTTACTATTGCAGATTCATATTCTGCCGATCTGTTCTCTCTGGCTTCTGCCCTCCTGATGATTATGAGCAATGCATGCCTGTTTGTCTACCGCAGCTTCCTAATTCTGTCTCTCCAAGGTCTGAGGTTGTGCAATCAGCTGTCATCCAGCTTGCTAAACACTTAGGAGCTGCTGACTGCTTTCACTTTGCTGACTTGTAAATAGGACCTTAAACCTAAATTATTGGTCATTCTTAAGATAACACAGTTACCTTCTGGTAGAAAAGATCATTGGATCTTATGGTACAATAACTACTGGAATTCTACCGGTGGCTTTCTTGGCGCGCATGAGGAATATGCTTGGTGATGGGGCGTAAGCCGGCATTCTCAAGGATATTTGATTGAGCTTTGCTTGCTTCAGCTTCTTTGAGTGCCATCTGTTAATTCATCATCCTCATAACGGAAATTTATGGCTGGTTTGCTCTTCTGTAAGTGGGTGTTTAATATTATTTACAAGGCGTGTAAGCATTGCAGGATAGTAATTTAGGACTAAATTGGTTTACAAGGTTATTTTTATGCATGTTAGAGCTCCCTGGATAGTGATTTATTTTTTTTTTCCCTACTTTTTGTGTCGTAGTTATGGAAAATGGGTTAGGTATGTGGGATATTTATTTTTCTTCTTTACCCCCTTTGAGCAGTTTGGATACATGTATTCTTAAAGTTTTTGAACTGGAAACTGAATGTAAATGAATATTGTGAATTGAGGAATGCCTTGAATATATATAGAACATTTCACGGTAGGATCTTGGTTCTATCTTCATTTTAAGTTCCTTTTGTAGATGAATAACGATTCTATTCTCTCCTCTGTTCTCTCTTCCCAGGGTTTGTAAATTAGTCGACTTGAGCATCTAACTGATTGAGCTCGAGCTTGATTTATGCTATCAATGTTCAATTTATACCACCTGTCTCAAGTATCAAAAAACTCTGAGGGCTCACGCCAAGCGGTTAAATTTTTAATGTAAAAAAAAAGGAGAAAATCTCAAGTATCAATTGAGTTTGAAAGAGTCGAGCTCTGACTCGGTCAAAGCACAGGGGAGCTTAGTTTGTACTAATTAATTTTTTATTAAATTTAATATTAAACTTGAGTAGCTCGCAAGCTACCGCCCAAGTTGAGTACTTCTTGAGTCTTGGACAACAACTCGACTTATTTACAATTATTATTATCGCCGACCTCCTCTCTCTTGAAGATATCCCATCAATAAGAGTCGATGTGCAATAAATTAGAGTTTTTGCATTGTTGTTGTCAAAGAAATTAAAGTGAAAAGTGAAATGCGCTGGGGAATTAAGTTCAGTATGTTAAGAGATTACGTATAAATGTATTTTTTTCACTTTTAAAGTAATGGTTTGAATTTAATTTTTTATGAATTTATTAAAAAAAAAAAGTTAAAGTGAAATAATTTATTTAATATATTAGATAATGTGTTATATAATAAATAATTATTATTTTTACTTATTTTATGATTTAAAGTTCAGATCATATTAAAAAAGATAATAGAAAGAAAAGACGAGAAAACTAAAAAAAAATAAGTAAAACAGTTAAAATACTATTAAATGATACAATATTAAAATAAAGCCTTTGTATAAATGTTTAGGTAAACATCAGCCAAAAAATTATAAATCTAACATAATAAAAATAATATTAAATTTAAAATTTAGTTTTTTTTTTTAACAAGTTGTCAAGGGATGGACTTAAAACCCGTCCATGAGAAGGAAGAATGCACTTCAAGCTGATAAATTGTCAGTTGACCCGAAAGAGCAGGTGTAAATTTAAAATTTAGTTTTAATATATATATTTTTTTAAATTGTGTATTTTTTTGCCTTATTCCTTAAATTCCTTAATATCCTAAAATTACTTGCCTTCGGCATCTTAGTTTATTTTTTAAGATGTTTTTCTGGCCTTTCTTTTTTCGGTTTTCTACAATTAAATTGAAGGATTAATATGAAAATATCTAAAAATACTACAAATTTTAGTTTTACTTTTTCCAATCTTAGTAGAACTTGTATATAGGTAAAAAAAGAAAAAATAAATAAATAAAGGAAATGTAATTATATTTCTTAAGCCGGCAATTATGATCCAAAATCCAAATCGCTTCCGCCATCGACCAATAGAAATCGATTAAAAGGCCTTCTCGATCCGCGTCATTACCACAAATTCACATCCGAGCGTCCATTTCATCCCAGAAAACACAACATGTGCCTATTTTCACCGTTGGATTAACTAGCAAAAAACACAAGGATAGTCAATGCCATCCGTCCGATCCTATTTTATCGCCGATCCTTACCCCTATAAATATCCCTTGACCGCTGAACCTTTCAAATTTTAACTGCAGCATTTGTTTTCTGGGATATCAGAGAGAGACAAGCGGAGGATTTTTGAGGTACCATATTCTCTTCTTCTTCTTCTGCTGGGATTTTGTCTCGATTTCTTAATTTCGTTCGCTTTTTTCATTGAGGATTATGCTGTTTTGTGTATCTTCTCTCTGGATTTCTGTCGATTTTGATTTTGGATTGAAGTTCCGGTGAATTCTCTTGATTTTCTTGTTCATATTGCTGTTTGAATTGTTAATAATTTGGTTAGGGTTCTTGATTTTGATCCTTTTGGTTAGGTATGATTAATTTGGAATTTTTTTATTAGGGTTTCTGAGATTGCTGGTTTTTGGGAATTAGGGTTTGTATCATAGTTTTAGGTTAATATTCTGGGATGTGAATTATATTCTATTAATATAACATCTCGTTCGGTGGTGGATTTTCTCTTACTTTTATAGTTTTTGGCCATGTTTGTTAAAGTGACTGGATCTGAATCGTTTCGTTGTGGTTTTGGCAGAGATGGCCCGTACCAAGCAAACTGCTCGTAAGTCAACCGGAGGAAAGGCTCCTAGAAAGCAACTCGCCACCAAGGCTGCCCGTAAGTCCGCCCCAACCACCGGAGGAGTCAAGAAGCCCCATCGTTACCGCCCTGGAACTGTTGCTCTTCGGTTAGTTTATGTATTTATATATTTTTATTTCAACTCCTAATTTCTTCTCTCATTATGCAGTGGTAGTTGGGTATTTTATTTACCTGTTATGATCTGTTGTTGTACAGTGAAATCCGTAAGTATCAGAAGAGTACCGAGCTTCTGATCAGGAAGCTTCCTTTCCAGAGGCTTGTCCGTGAAATTGCCCAGGATTTCAAGGTGAGAAAGCGTTCTGCAGTTCAGAATTGGTATTTTTTTGAATTATGGTTGATACGTGAGAATATCATTCTAACTAATTGTCAATTCTGGAATTGGATGCTGCAGACTGATCTGCGTTTCCAGAGCCACGCCGTGCTGGCACTTCAGGAGGCAGCTGAGGCATACCTTGTGGGTCTTTTCGAGGACACCAATCTCTGCGCCATTCATGCTAAGCGTGTTACCATCATGCCCAAGGATATCCAGCTGGCCCGTAGGATCAGAGGGGAGCGTGCTTAATTGATTTGCCTGCAACTGCAAGAATTTGATATTCCCAGCATGGATGTATTTTGTTCTTTGGTAGATAGTGGGTGGGGTAGTGTAGCGAAAATATGGGTGATGGGTACGGCTGGTGTGTTCTAATGTCTGTTAATGGGAGATTTAGTCTGATACTTTTCTGATATAATTTCTGGTTTAATGTGTTTTTTGGACGCTGTATTGCCAGTGCCTGAACAAGTATTATTTTATCTAATCTTAGCCTAGTTTGTTAATTTTTGTATCTGCAAGTTTAATTTTCGGATGTGATTGTATTGCTTTGCATTCAAGTTATATAAAATCCACTTGAATGCGAATGTTCCAGGATTGTATGACTTGCATGCCATACCTGCTATTCTGCGGTTTGCACCGTGTTTTCTCTATGAAAGTTGCTCGGTTGGAGGCTATATGTGTGCTGCGATCTATTCTGAACCAGATGGAGGAGTATTCGGAGTTAAATAAATTTAACTAATTTCGCCTGTGAATTTTTTTTAAATTTTTGATGGATCGGTTAATTGAAATTGAATTTAGATAAACGTTCATCTTACTGTGGATCCGAGTGGGAGATAAAACTCATTTGGTGATTATTATTATTATTATTATTTAATGAAAATGAAGAACTTTTAAGGCGAAATTCGTGTGGGATAAATAAAAATAAATGACTGACACGGTGCTACTGTAGGATTATTCTGACTGTCCTCATCATCAAATAGACTAAGACGAATGGTTAAAAAAGGCTACATCTCTTTTTTGGCATCTGCCTTATCGGCATCAAACAGCTGCTACTTGAAAAAATTAAGGAGAAAATGCTTGGCCCAACTCAGAGGCAACGCAGCGCATTTGTAGTTGTTCACTCATCCTTCCTGTCTCCTGGTTCATTATTTTTCATCGCTGCACATTGCAACACACCCACAAATCTCAATCTGTAATACTTAACCCAAAAAAACTCTAATGCCGCGTTCTTCACTTTCGACTTCGCGTTCCTTTTCCCTATCTCGTAAGCTCTTCTCGACGCAAGATGTCTTTCAATGCAACTTCAAAATTGCCCAGCTTGCTCGTGCTGGCAAGTGGCAACATCGAAGCCGCCTGCCAACTGTTCGATAAAATGTCGTTAATTACTGCATACTGGCAACTCTTGTGTCGAAGAATCAAGAAAGCATTTTTGTTTCAATGCATATAAGGAATTAATGTAGTTTCCTGGATCTCCATGATTGTTGGTTGCATCGTGGATGACATCATAGACGAGGCTTTTGACTACTTGCAAGCCATGCCACTGCGCCTTAGAATGCGATGGCTTCAGGTTTAGTGAAATTCCACTGGGTACATAATTCTATCAAGCTGTTAAAAGAAATGATTAGTAGCAATGTGATGTTTAATACCTCGTTGATTGAGGTTGATAAGGCGAGAAGCTTGTTCGTTAGCCTCCCATGCTGAAATGTTGTTTCACTGGACCGTGATGATTAATGGGTATGTAGATAATGGGAACCTTAAAGCAGTCCAGGATTTGTATCAGCAGATCACCGCCAAGAATGCTGTTGCCATTACATCAATGATCACGGACTATATGGAGGGGATGGTGGACAATACAAGGACTCTGTCTGTTCTGTTCGACAGAGTTCAGTATAAGAACCTTGTTTCCTGGAATGCTAGCATAACAGGTATGCTAATTTGATTTCACTTAGCTGAAATTGGCAACTCAAAATGTCTATATAATATATGCATGAATATACATTGACTAATATGTAGAACGGTAATCCAATTTTTTTAAATTTCTGGGTTTTCTTTTTCTTTAACTTATTAGGGAGAGAATGCATTTCTAATGACAGCTTAAATTAGTAAATTTTTTCGTCAATTCAGTTTCAACACCTTTGTCGTCTCTATTTATTAAACAGTATTCTGTGGGTAAAAAAAAAAAAATTGCTTTTGGGAAATTTTTAATGGATTACCCACCAACTTCGGATTTTCCTAGGAATAACAAAAACCCCTCTTTAGAATTTCTCCTAAACTCATATCTTTTGACTCACTTTCCTCTAAATTTAGCTACCCCATATAACCTTCCCTCACAAAAAGTATCCGTTTGCTTGTTTCTTGTTTCTTTTAAGTTTATCCATTAGATTGTTTCTCTATAAGGATAATTTTTTCTTCAGTCTATTGGATGAATTCTTGTTTCTTCTTTGAAATTGTTCATTGAATTTTCATTACCCTTTTACAGGAATTTTCCCCAGGTATATCCGCCAAGTTTGAAATTACTTTCAATAATCAAAGTTCAAAGTTTGAATTTTCCATGAAATTTTGTTTGACATGATCTTGTTTCCTGTGAATTGTTTGATAGACACGGTATTTATTTCGGGTGTTGGAGATGCACATGCAGTTAGCACGGCGGGAGCAGGAACAAGAGGAACGTTTGACTACTGCAGAAGAAGAAAAGATGGAGGTGAGAAGAGAGTTTCCGCACAAGTGGTCAACGGTAATGTCCTCTAGTAAAGTCACGGATATCCATACAGAGCTTACCTTGGTGAAGGAAACATTAACAAATGCGAGGCAGGAATTGAAGGCAAAGGAGGAAAAGATCGAGTCCTTGAGATCGGAGCTTATGCAGAGGAAGGAGCTGGAGTCGAGATTGGCAGAGAAAGATTGCTCCCTGAGAAAGTTGAATGATGAACTAAGTCGGATCAAATCCTCTGAGGCTGACGCCATTAATCTGTTGTCAGAGGGGATGAAGAGAATTCAAGAAATGGACACGGAGATACAGAAGGGAAAGGAAGAGGAAGCTAAAATGAAGAAATCATTGGTTGCTCAAACGAAACAGCTCGAGCAATCCAGGATCTCACTCGAAGAATCCAAGCTTGAAATCAAATCTCTTTATAAAAAATTGAGGAGATCAGAAGGGTCGTTGGATAAAATTGTTGGTGATTTTGATGCTTCGCCGGGAACAGAACAAGCTTTAAGAAAAACAGTGGAGATTTTGAAATCGGAGATTCAAATATCAAATGAAAAACTAGCTAGTTCCCAAGAAGAAGGAAAGAAGATGAAAAATCTGCTTGAAGAAAACAGTAGGTTGAAAAATGAACTCAAATCTTCAATAGAAGTAGAGGAGAATAACAAGAAAGCCATGGATGATTTAGCCTTAGCTTTGCAAGAAGTAGCAATGCAGTCCAATCAAGCAAAGGAGAAATTGTCCTCAACGGAACAAGAGTTGGCGGCTGCACAGGAGAAGATAGAACAGTTGAAGACGAGGTTGAAGAACACCAAGGAGAAATACTCTGAAGCAAAGAAAGAGGCTGATATATGCAAAAACAAAGTGGAGAGATTGAGACTGGAAGTAGAAGAATCACAGATGGCATGGAATGGGAGAGAGACGGGCTTCGTGGAATGTATTAAGAAAGCCGAAGAAGAAAGGAATGCTGCACAAGAGGAAAATAATAGACTGCTTCAAGCACTGAGGTCCGGTAAGAATCTGCAGATGAAAGCAAAGGATGAGAATCAGAAACTTAGAGACATACTTAAACAGGCTATAAATGAAGCTAATGTTGCGAAAGAAGCAGCAATGATTGCAAGGGAAGAAAATGACCAGCTCAAGGATGTTTTAGCTCAGAAGGATGCAGCTCTGAATTTTCTTTCTCGGGAGAATGAAAATTTCAAGCTCAATGAAGCTGCAGCTTTTGATAATATCAGGGAATTGAAACGATTATTGGCCGAAGCAACAATTAAGGATTGGAAAACAGAGGATAAAGAAAAGGGGATGGCATCGAATTCTCCAAATTCCATGGAGAAGGATTGTAAAGATGAGAAAGATAAAGAACGGGGTAAAGATGGAGATGATAAGGATCAGGGGAAGAAACTCAAGTCCCCAAACTCCATTGATAAGGAGCATGGGAGGAAACAGAGCAATGCTGTTAGTTTGAATCTCAAGGACGTGAAAATCCCACATTATAAACACGAGGAAGGAGAAGAGGAGTACAAGTCTGCATCTGCGGTGATAAAAGACAGCAATGAAGATGACTCCTCTTCTGATAACACTGAGCCGCTTAAGGGTTCCATATTTGACATGGCTGAGACTCCAGAGGCTAAAACTACCGCAGCTCACCACCGGAAGAAGTCATCTTTCACCGACGAAGGAGAACGGATGAACTCAGAGGAGTTTGGTCATCTAGATGGTGCTCATTTTGATGAGACGGAGAGTGATAGAAGCTCGAGAAAAAAGAGAGCATTGCTACGGAGATTTGGAGATCTTATAAGGAGAAAAGTTTCCATAGAAAGGATTTAGAAACTTAAAATAGAACCTCATCTCTGTGCATGAGGTAATTACAAATTACAATTGCTGTTGTATAGAGTATACTTGACTGCAAGGTTTAGGTTAAATTTACAGACAAGTGTTGTTTTATAGGCGAGGTATACTGTTCAAGTCTTGGGCTAACGCTTAAGAAAATCGAGTTTCCTTGTGTGCCCTTATCACGGCCTTTTGAGAGATTAATGTTGAGGTGTGTGGTTTGTTCATTTCCAAGACTCACTCCTCTCATTACAATAAAATAAAATAAAATAAAAAGCAACAACAACTAGCTAGACACTCTTTGCCAAACTAGTGATGATTGACCATGCCTGCCTTTTTTTTTTTTTTTGTACATGAGTACAGTACATTATGCATTGGTTAATCTAGAGGCCCTAGGCCTACAAACGCCTAGAAGATCTTATGATAATCTTTGTTTCAAGATCCCCAGAGTTTCGTGGGGATCCCCATCACAAATATAGAGATTTTAAGAATAATTTTTCCTGTGAAATGGGGATGGAGGTTTTTTTTTTTTTTTGTCCATGAAATTTTGTGAGAAATTTTCTTCACCTTGTGAGAACTTGTGAGGATTCATATAAAATAAAAAAAAATTATTTTTATATATTTTTGTAAATATATTACCAATTAATTTTTACTTACCTAACTTAATTAGCTAACCCAATACTAATCCAACCTAAATTGCCCAGCCCATTCTTTTTCCAATCTTCCCAAACCCAATTGTCCAACCCATTTGCATTTCCAGTGAATCTAGTCTTCCCAAACCCAATTGCCTAACTTAGTTCGCACAGCTCATTTTAGTAATCCTAGTAATTAATTGTTGAAGTCAAACATTAGATTTAGAATTTTTAGATTCCTCATCTAGCTATGTAGCTTTATTCCTCATCTCCT